GCAGCGGCAGCTGCCCCTAGCGGACGCCTGGCCTGGGTGCGGGACGCGTCCCTTCCCCCGGCCAGGCCTCCTCAAGACACCCACATGCCCATTCCTCTCCCTCTCCGCCTTCTAAATTCCAGAATCCTGTCCCTCCTCCCTGGGCCTCCAGAGTCTTGTCCCTCTCCAGGTTACCCTAGAAACGATCCAACTTTTGCTCGTTTTCTCTCTCCTCCCTGAATAAAGTCGCCAGCTACAGCGTGTGTTGTGGCTGCTTCCTGGGGAAATAGATGGGAAGGAGAATTTCCAGAAAGTGATAGGCGTCTCACTTCTAATCCTGAGGCCCCAGAATGAGCGACAGATTCACACTAGAGTGTAAATGACGGATCCCCTTACCGGTCATCTTTAAAAAAAAAAAAAAAAAAAAAAAAAAAAAGGGCCGGCCCGTGGCTCACTCGGTAAATGACGGATGGTCTATACCCTGGGGCATTCGTCACAACAGAGAACATAGGAAATCGGAGGGGAGATCAGAAGAGCTGACAAGGGCAGGTGGTGTACCCTCCCACTGTGTGCCAGCAGGCCTGCCAAGAAGCTGCCTGACTCGTAGAAATCTCAAGACACACTTCACAGACCTTCCCTTCTGAGTGAGCAGGCCCAGTGGTGTCGGGCATAAGGTCTTCCTTCCTTCCTTCCTTCCTTCCTTCTTTCCTTCCTTCCTTCCTTCCTTCTTTCCTTCTTTCTTTCCTTCGACCCCTTCTTCCTCATCCCAGTCCCAAATCTAAGGCAAAGGACTGGACTCAGATTCAGGGTTTGGGGCTGTGAACACTACTCTTAATCCTCCTATCCACAGGCCCTTGGAGAGCCTCACTTTCCCCACCTGTAAGACAGGGCAGTGTCCCTTTTGGTTCCGTTCAATAGAGCAAGATTAACGGATGCTTCCTGTGTCTCAGGCACTGCACTGAGATAAACAGATCGAGCCCATTCCCTGTCCTCAGGGAAGATGGAATAGCACAAGGAGAGAAGTGCCCCACTGCGGGGGTAGCAGGCAGGCTTCTTCCAGCTGCAAGAGAGAAATCCAGTGCAAAGTGCCATTAGCCAAAACAGTGACGGCCAGATGGTTATCTTAGTTGGTTAGAGTGTGGTGGTGATAACACTGAGGTCCAGGGTTCAATCTCTGTACTTGCCAGTCTCCACCCCCGCCCAAAAAAAAGTGCCTTCAGCCAAAACAGTAAGTAAGCTTTAGAAATGGCTACATCTAGGTGTTTAAATGATAGAAATCTATCTGCATCTTCTTGCTATATTCTGGGACAGGATTTCCTCACAGTATTAAAGAAGGGCCAGCAACTCCAGGATTCCAGATTTCAAATGTGCCTATTTCTCTGTAAAACCAGCCAAGTTTCCAGAGCTGGCTCTCATTGATCAGCCCATCACCAAAATAATCACTGTGCCATGGAACGCTGTGATCTCACTGGCCTGATGTGGGTTATAAGCTTGCGTCTGAAGGCCCATGGTAGGGGTCAGTTCCATCTGAACCAAATGGACTGAGAATGGGGAAGAGGTGGTACCCCGACAGGATAGTCATTAGCTGGAGCCAGGAGAGGAGGGAGCGCTTAGCAGGGAATCAAGATATATCGACTACAGAGACTGGTGGGAACGAGCCTGACTGTGGTATGTCTAGCTGGGTTCCCAGCCCAGTTCCACCACTTAGTCTGTAACTTTGGGCATGTTGCCCAGCTTTTCTGAGCCTCAGTTTCTTCATCTGTAAAATGAGAGTAATTTGATCCTCTCACAGGGTTGTTGGGAGAATTCAATAAGTTAATGCAAGTTGTCTGGTGGTCTATCATCACAGTGAAACAAAAAGCTCTACACTCAATGGTGAAAAACAACAATCAATCATTATTATCTTTCACGGTTCTGGGGTTTGACTGGGCTCAGCTGGCCGGTTCTTACTCAAGGTCTCTCATGCACTTGCAGATAGTGGCTGGTGCTGAAGCCACTTTGAAGCCTTCCTCATTCCCATATCTGGTACTGGCTGTTGCCTTGAACTTCCGCTGGGGCTGTCCACCAACATAGCTACATATGGCCTGTCCCTATGGCTTGGGGTTCCTCACAGCATGGTTGTTGGGTTCCAACAGAAGTGTCTTAGAGAGTGAGCCCAGTGGAAGTTGTCTCACCTATGATGACTTAGCCTTGAAAGTCACAGTGTCATCTCTGCTTTCTATTCCCTAAAGTGAGTCACTAAAACCAGCTCATATCTGAGAGGAGGTGTCATAGACTCCACCTTCTAATGGGACGGTGTCAAATAAAATGCTTAGAAAGTGCCTGGCACGTAATTAACACTTAATAAATGCCAACATCCTCTATTATTTGTTGTCGATGATGTTATGCACTGTGTTATCAAAGTTATATACTGTGTCATTGTGACAAGGAGGATAAGCTTGCTTTCAAGGAAGAAAACTGAGGCTGGTTAGCTCAGTTGGTGAGAATGCTGTGTTAGTAACATCAAGGTTAAAGGTTTGGATCCCCAGACTGGCCAGCTGCCACAAAAA